CAATTTTTTAAATAAAAAGTCCAAGGCACTTAACATTTAACTTTTTTTGATATCTCTTATGGTTTTCGAATAAAACGGCTGGCACACTTATATCAATCACCCTGTATAGCCTACTCCAAACCTTACTCCTTGGGGAATTTTGCAGTTTCTGAGGAAGCGGGACGTTATTTTGGGTCTCACGACACGTCGGAGTAAGTCCAAGGACGGATTTTTTATGTGCGTGTATCATTAATAACGCATTGTGCTATTAATAACAACACATATATTGTGTTGTGTGTCTTCTCTTCGTTGTGTTACATTTTGACGAGTCCTGGATTAACAAATTAAGGTGAGTAAAGCCCACAAGCTGATCAATACAGTATAATAAACCTCACCTAAAAACATGTCTTTCAAAATTAGTACTATAGATATGGTGTACAGTGATATCTATCCTGACACATAGATAATTTGATTCTTAGTTAGTTTAAATATTAAAACATTTTGTTAGGTATTTGAGCTTTTTAGGGAATTCTGTCCCTACAAGCCACTTCGGTAGTTTTTTTTAAACCCAATCATCAGGGACAGCTGGATCCAGTTGCAAACCATAAAAATACAGAAGATTTTCAGGATCGACCTGGAGGCCTGTTGATTGTTAGGCGAGCCGAGCACTACTGTATAACCACCCAACTACTCAGTCAGTGATGTCTTTTACACCAGACATTACGAAATCACATCCATGTCTGACATTTTAATGGATCTAATGCATAAATATTATCTTTTGTAACGAAAATCAACACAACCACATCCCCGACTGCGCTAGGCCAGCAAAGTCCAATGTCTGACATTCTGCAAAGGTCCGGCTAGCATAATGCGAGGTTAGCGAGGCACGATCCCTCTGATGATACACATCACACGCCTCGCCCCACCTCTGGCTGTGCTTTCCACAATGCTTTTTACCTCAACATTACAACACTATTTTATAAGCGTGTTTACTGTTTGTGAAGCAATTAAATCGTTTACCTAACCCGCCATGTTAAACTTCTCTATCCCAAGCGTGATGTATACAACTTCTTTACTTTATGAGTGATGTAAAGTTTCAAAAACTCACTCAGTGAGGTAATGAAACCCATTTAAATAACATTGAGTGCTCAACTTAAAAATTAAACCTCTATGGAGCCAACGACGTTCAACGCTAGAAATCAGCTGTGCGCTTGAATTTTATTGTTATGTTTTGAAGAATTATCCTAACCTAGCTTTTGTTTGTAAAAGAACGTTACTGTTAGAAAATGAGTGAAATGGATAATGAAAAATATTGTACGTAACCCCCTGTATATTGTCGGGTCAGGTAAAATCTTGTACGTTACACGTTACGCAAGAGCGTGTTTACATCACTTAGATGAATTATTCAACTCGCTTCCGCTCGTTGCACAACATTCACCTGCGTGATGTAAAAACGCTCTTACTACACTTGTAAGGTAAATCGCTATTATTGTTTAGTACCGGGGGACCGATAATAGCTATTTACCTTACAAGTGTAGTAAGAGCGTTTTTACATCACGCAGGTGAATGTTGTGCAACGAGCGGAAGCGAGTTGCATAATTTACCGAAGTGATGTAAACACGCTCTTGCGTAACGTGTAACGTACAAGATTTTACCTGACCCGACAATATACAGGAGGTAACGAACAATATTTTTCATTATCCATTTCAATCATCTTCTAACAGTAACGTCCATTTACAAACAAAAGCTAGGTTAGGAAAATTCTTCAAAACATAAAAATAAAATTCAAGCGCACAGCTGATTTCTAGCGTTGAACGTCGTTGGCTCCATAGAGGTATATTTTTTAAGTTAAGCACTCAATGTTATTTAAATGGGTTTCATTACATCACCGAGTGAGTTTTTTTCAACTTTACATCACTCAAGAAGTAACGAAGTTATATACATCACGCTTGGGATAGGGAAGTTTAACATGGCGGGTTAGGTAAAATATGATACACACAAAATCATATTAGTTTCAAAATGGCTTGGGTCAAGGATTTTTCGCTTTTTCTTTACTACTTCTAAAGAAATTGAGATTCTGTATATTTTTTTTTCATTGTGATTTAGCATACGGTAATAGTTTTATGCGAATTAAACCCCCCAGATGTAATTAGTTTACTTGGAACATTGTTGTAATGATATGATCAAATCTATTTCTGCTCCTGTAATTTTCTGATCTAAAACTCCAACTTTTTCAGCAACATTAAAAGCTCAGTGCGATACTGATCCACCAATAAATATATTACTTCAAGTATTCATTCCTAAAATGACAACCATATTATTCCATACATATCATACCTAGTTTTTAAACACATTTAGTTGGAACATCCACAAACATTCGATGAGGGGGGAGGGGTTAATCATTAACGTATTCAAAGTTTTTACTCAAACCAGAGGTTATTTAATAAATACCCCCGCCGCAGCAAACCAGCAGACTAAGCGAATTTCCATTTCCCTGAATGGATTTACACTAAAATGTCTCCTTAAAAATATCACATTTATTCCCTATTTAAATAGAATCAGTTTAAAACATACTTAGGTTTGCTGCAACAGGGAGGGTAAAAGTGTTTTTTATGTAAAATGTTAATAGTTAGTAAGAAATAAAAACATTTTCCAAATTTGGGCAAAATATGTTTATAAACAAGCAAACTACAACAGTTTACTTATTCTCCATAAGAATAACATGGGAATTTTAAATTTACTTTTTTTTTTGAATTTTCTCCGTAACCATTAGGCGCATTACAACGCTTCAATATACTAAATTATTTGTTTTTTTAAGCTCTACAAAATAGTTTAGAAAGAAATTGCAAAATTTTATGTTTTTTTGGGTCAAAAATGGAAAAAACCCATTTTTACCCCATAAAAGCCCCCATAAACCCCCGTTCCCATGGTCCGATCGTGCTGGTTCGCGAACTCGTTCGAATAAACGTAGGTTTACACGTTTGTACCAAATTTCATCAAAATCGGATCATTTTTGCTCGAGTTATCGCGCTAACGGACACACATATAAATATATATATATATAAATATATATATATATATATATAAATATATATATATATATATATATGAATTTGAACGGATTATGTTTTTGACCTCTAGGGACCTCAAAACGAAAGAAAAAATCGGTCCCGGGTCCAGGTCTTACCGTGAGTACTACGGTAATAGCTTATTCCCTATATATATGGGAAATTCGCTAAAACCATCAATAAGTTCAACACTTTTATGTCAAATTCCAACTCTATTTATTTAGAAAGAAATGGAAAAAACTATTACTTACGTATGTAAGGAGTGTGATTTAGTTCTTGGTACTAAACAAAATCTTTCTCTAAGTAAAAGTCAAACATCAACATAAAAATACTCTATAAAATACTCTTTTATGATGGATAAGCTGAAGATTTATTATTTTAATAAAATACATTGTTGTATAAAACTGCACATCATCCACATATTTGACTGAGAATATGGCAGTGCCGAGCCGCCACGGTACTAACTACGCGCTGCGCACACTGGTGCATTCAAACTCTTATTATTGGCGTTATTGTTGACTTAATATCACGTAAGTCATATGTATATTTTTTGAAATTTAAAGCTCAACTTTTTACTAAATGGGTATTATATACCTATTTTAAGTATTAATAGCGTAAAGTAAAAAAAGGATGAACGTAAAACATTTTAAATTACAAAAATCTTAAGCTACAATTATTATATATTGACAAGTGCACCTGTTGCTCGAATTCGAGCAATTGCAAAGTATTGCAGGCATTATTTCAAAACGAATAACAGTCATAATTTCCGATGACTTAAAAGAGGCAGCTCAAAGATAATGTAATAAATCACTCCACTCCAGTTATCGAAACTGAAAACGAACTCACTCTGAAAACGAACGAACGCTCTTGTGTATATCATGTCTTAACTATGAACAGCTGTAATTAATACAAATTATTCGTCTGTTTAAGTAAACAAAATCTTTTCTTCATAAGAAATACATTGAGATTTTGATGGTCTCAGGGGCAAAGCCCGAGGACTACTATTACAGGAATTGGTGAAAGGGGGCGTCTACACAAAAAATACTTAATTTGTACACATCGTTTGTAAAAATCCGCCCATTATTAACGGAGGAGTAGTGTTTCGTAGAAATCACCTTCACGTATTATATATAAGGATACTATAAAATACTAATAAATATGGTAATTCCATAAAGTAAACTTTCTTTAGACTTCTTCAGCTTCATACGACTATTATAAGTCGAATAAATTTGAAGTTATAACATTTTCTGTTAAACCTTTTGGTTGATTTGTTTCACCACCATTTTCCCAGATGGCGGATTTTGTTGAAGTGACATTTTTTGGGAATTCTCAGGAAATGTTAAGGAGTGTGTCCCAAACACATTCCAGGAGAGTTTTGTGGATATTTATAGTCATGCACTATGGATGCGATACTCCCTGGTGTGGATTAACGTCCGCACGGGTGAGTATTACGACTATCCGCAGTACTCTCCTGATAATTAGACCAAATCGTATATACCAAAGGCAAAAATGTGGTTCGGATTCTACTATAAACTGTAGGTCCTTTAGTTGCCATTAGCTGTATGGGCTATTAATAAACAGATGTGTCTAAGGAATATGTCGGCCTTTTAGTCACTAACAAGACTATAAGATCGCGCCACTCATCCTACACTCATCTCCATTCATACGTGGCTTATAATACCTACATTGTATGGTCGCCATTTCATTGAAAAGTATTAAAGTACCCTTGAACGAATTTGTTCTAGGCCAGGGCCTTTTTTTGCATAACTGTCCTGCACTACTATATGGATCAGCTGTAACAATCTTTAATTCAAACACAACATAGTTTTTGGTCCAATCATATCCAATGCTCTGCAACAATAGTCAGACTACAGCAAGGAATTATAATACTGTAATTCTCTTCAAGACTTTTGACGTCATTAGTCTGCGCTCAACTCTAAGGCTGTAAGGTACCTTGGTGAGAGCTCCAGTTATCTTGGGAGGGGTGTCTGCGCTGGGAGGGATCTCGGGAGATGATTCCTCAGAGAAGAGCGTCTCATTGCCGCTGTCTGCCCGAGCCATCTCCCAAATCTGGAACAACAAAACTCAATTGAAGATTGTTTTACATAACTGTGGAAAACATTACATAACTGTGGTAAAAATGTTACATAAAAATTGGTAAAAAAATAATAATTTTGATAGTTATTACATAAGACACATCATTGTAAAGCTTTGTTTACTAGGATTACGAGTTTTCAACCAGAACTGGAAAATGTTTAGTGGTTTCGAAAATACAGGATATGACGTAAATACGGGAAAAATTCACAAAAATTGCCGCCATTTTGAAACTAATTGAGATAACTGAGTTATATTTACACCAAAATGTTGGTCTAAGCAAGCCCTTTCTACACATGTATAATACGATATAGGTTGACATAAGGAAATTTTGAGATTCGAGCCCGTGACCTCCATTCCTGGAACACTCTGAGCTTTCGCATTTTCCGATTCTTTGTTGAACCTATTTTGGATGCTTTTAAAAATGTTTTGAAAATCAGAACCTATCCTTAGTGCCAATTCAGCTTTTTTGTTCCCAATAGAACTTTTAAGAGGTTTTTTTTCCAAGCGGTGGTGTTCAATTCTTTCATTGATCAATTATTTAGAAGCTACATACATTATTTTGCTGGCTTTGAAACTTTTGTAAGGAAGCTTTAGGTAAAAACCTTTAGGTATCAAGTTATCACGTTTACATTTCACAAGAAAGGTAAAATAGTTTTTGTGATTAGCCAATTTTAAATGCATTTGTTCCAATTCACTTATTTGATTACTTACTCCAGGTCCGTACCGAGAATCAATTCTTTGTTTGAAGTTCATTGTTTTGTTGGTGATGGGGAGTTAATGTTGTTCAAAGGTTTATTGCGGACATTTTCCATCACGCTATCATATAATCACGCTATTATAGCCATCACGCATGTTGTAGTTTGCTTGTTTATGAACATATTTTGATCGAATTTGGAAAATGCATTCATAGGCTTACTAAACTATTAACATTTGACAAAAAACACTTTTTACACTCCCTTTTGCAGCAAACCTAAGTACTTGTTAAACTAATTTTATTTAAATAGGGAATAAATGTGACATTTTTAAGAAATAACTTCTTGATCAGCATTGTACGTGTTATTAAATTTACGGAAAGTAAATAAAAGAAACGTCTTATAACACTTAAAACATATATTTAAGCTTAAACTGTTACTCACAAGACGGTAAATATACAAAAAAGATGGTAAGTGAATACCGGGGCATTAGAATACAACGATAAACGTATTCTTTCAATGTTAAATGATGTTAATAATTACGTGATGTACAGTCCTGGTGTTAGTGTACACACTCTCAACGAGTAGTACTCCGACAGCACAAGGCATCAAAGGTACGAATTCACAGCCCAAACGAGTTGACATATCGCATGTTTTTAAATTCCAACAAACAGATAAATTTTCCCCAAAAACCAAACAGCAAGTTTTAATTTTTAAATTTTTTTTTAAATAAAAAAAATATAATTATAAATAGCTAGTGATTATTATCTTATTTTTTCACACCTGAATGCCAATTTTGGGGAGAATCGCATTACCCATTCTTCCTGTGAATTGGTACCAAAGATGAAAAATTTACTACTTTCAAGCTCCATACCTCGCTTAATATTCAAAATAAAAAAAATTATTATATATTTGTATCTCTAATTTTTAGTACAATTGAACAATAACAAAAAATCAGACATGAAAATTTTCGACCAAACACCCTTAAAGAGCGTTGATGTCGATTAAATGTGTTTATTAACATAAACTATAAAATGTTATTCCTACGCTAAGGTGTGTTCTTCTTTCGGATATATTGACTTCTTAATATAAGTAGGGGTTTGAAAGTAAGTAGGTCTACATTAAAAAATAAATTATCTTTTGAAATTAAATCATAGAGTTATAGAATATTTTAAAAGAATATTCTAAAAACATTCCTCTTATTAGTTATAGATCTTCCTAAGCACACATCATCGCGACTCATACACTTAAACGTTGCCTAGGAAATCCAAAACCCGTGTCTAAAATTAAAGAAAATAATTTTACTACACTAAATAATAAAATTAATACAAAATCAATAATAGATGTGTAACTGTTTCATACAGCAAGTCTGAAGAACAACATTTTTTTCTTTCACGTCCTCTTCCCGCTACGATTGACAGTTATGCAGATCGTGCATGATTATAATAATAAACACAAACAATGTTTTCAAGCAACAGTTATTCTTAAAGTACATGTAAGCCGATTCTTTGCGTCAAAATTATGGGAAGTCGTAGAACGACGGAAGAGAGCTCAAATTACAGGTCTCGATCCCGTGACAGCGGAAAAAATAGTGAAATTCCCAAAATGTCAACACAAAATTAGATATAACCTATAACGTAAAATGTTCTCCATAAGAATAGCATTAGAAGCCATTTACTGCTGATTTTTGTTTAACGTACTTCAATACAGCTGATCGTTATTGATCACTAAGCCGGTATAGTACGCAGTATCAACATTTGGATGACTTATTTGTCAGTAATTTCTGCAATGTACTATATAAAACCAGGGATAACGTTACCTATAACACGTAAGACTTTTTAGTTACGTTACAGAATGTGGAAATAAATTATTTTACAGTGAAACTTTTCAAATTTGTGTATTTTAACGTTTAACATGAAACAACCACATTGACTAAATGATTAACGATTCAAGATTCAATGGAACATTTCTGCTTTGTTTTTATTTCAAAACATTAATTAACAAATACATTACAAATCATAATGTTAGTAAATTTACAATGAAAGTGTAGAATATAAATTTTGAACATATTATGTTCAAGATTTATTCTACACTTTCATTGTAAATTTACTAACATTATACATTTGAGATTTATTGTTATGTAGTGTTTAATCAATATTTTGTATGAAGTGAAATAACCTCAACGGCTAATCTTAAAAAATAACCTGGAAATAAAGACGAAATAGATAGTAACGTACAGGAAATGTATTTGTTAATTAAGTAAGTACTATGACAAGTTTGAATGGGCGGAAAACAATGTTGTTTGGGGGAGTTTTTAAACCGATACTGTCTGTTGCTCTAAGCAAAAATGGGTAATAGCTATTTACCTTACAAGTGTAGTAAGAGCGTTTTTACATCACGCAGGTGAATGTTGTGCAACAAGCGGAAGCGAGTTGCATAATAATTGTAATAATTTACCTAAGTGATGTAAACACGCTCTTGCGTAACGTGTAACGTACAAGATTTTACCTGACCCGACAATATACAGGAGGTTACGAACAATATTTTTCATCATCCATTTCAATAATCTTCTAACAGTAACGTTCATTTACAAACAAAAGCTAGGTTAGGACAATTCTTCAAAACATAACAATAAAATTCAAGCGCACAGCTGATTTCTAGCGTTGAACGTCGTTAGCTCCATAGAGGTATATTTTTTAAGTTAATCACTCAATGTTATTTAAATGGGTTTCATTACCTCACCGAGTGAGTTTTTTCAACTTTACATCACTCGAGAAGTAAAGAAGTTGTATACATCACGCTTGGGATAGGGAAGTTTAACATGGCGGATATAGCCTAGCATGTATGGTATGTAATAGTAAAGAGAGCATCCACAACTAACTGTAAAACCTAGATTTCTTTACGTTTCTTAAACAAACCAAAAATACCTTATGCATGTCAATGCTGATGAAAAGTAATTTCGTGATTGGTTTCGATAACTGGGTAATGGAACCCGAACCAGTCGCAAAACAGTTAGGAATCAGCCGATAGGTAGAAATATTAACTAGGTAGGGATGCTAATTTAGCGGTTTTGACCAAAAACTAAGGTTACCTCAACACACCTATTTTGACCTTTTCATATTTGACGAAGACAATATCCAAAACTCCAATCAGGGGAACCTTTATTCACCACTAACCACAAGACCAAAGCTACCTTAATAAACCTTAATTCACAAACAAAAACAAAGACTAACAACAATCTGTTTTCACACATAAGATATTGTGTACAGGGATATTTATTCTGACACATAGATAATATATTTTTGAGTTTGTTTGAATATTAGAATAGTTTGTTTTACATTATTGAGATTTGTATGGACTTATGTCCCTACAAGCCACTAGTTTTATTTTTATATCAGTACATAAACTGTCCTTTGTTGTAAGAAGTATGTAATGTATGTAGAAGAAGATGTAAAACAGTTTCACAAAGTTGACGAGTGTACCAAAGCATCGGTCATCGCAATAGAAGCGCGACACAGCAGTTGGATGCACGGCAACCACTCGGGCGCTTTCCTAATATGGACGAAGAAAGCAGGTCGGCAACATTTGAATACGGCCGGAAATTTACCGAAGGTTTAAACTGGTGCAGATCGATCGCATCTGATTATGGTGTGATCTATCCTCGCTCCAGGCAGACGCGGTGCTGAGAACTACCGCTACCCTCGCTCCAAGCAGCTGCCGTGACTCCTTGCTGGGAACTGCCTCTAACCTCACTCGATTCAGCTGTAGTAACTATCCGCTGAGAGCTACCTCTACCCTCAACCCAGGCAGCTGTTTAACTATCTGTTGAATACTACCTCTACCCTCACTCAAGGCAGCTGTGGTATCTATCTGCTGAGAACTACCTCTACCCTCACTCAAGGCAGCTGTAGTAACTATCTGCTGAGAACTACCTCTACCCTCACTCGAGGCAGCTGTAGTAACTATCTGCTGAGAACTACCTCTACCCTCACTCAAGGCAGCTGTGGTAACTATCTGCTGAGAACTACCTCTACCCTCACTCAAGGCAGCTGTGGTAACTATCTGCTGAGAACTACCTAACCCTCACTCAAGGCCGCTGTAGTAACTATCTGCTGAGAACTACCTCTACCCTCACTCAAGGCAGCTGTGGTAACTATCTGCTGAGAACTACCTCTACCCTCACTCAAGGCAGCTGTAGTAACTATCTGCTGAGAACTACCTCTACCCTCACTCAAGGCAGCTGTGGTAACTATCTGCTGAGAGCTACCTCTACCCTAACTC